CAAAAAAAACCTAAAAAAGATGCAGATTGGATTGCAGATGGATTTACAGCTTGCATTTGTGGCCTGAGGGTAAATGTAAACTCATGTTAACGCTGACATTGGCAGAGGTAATACCGATTTTAGACACTAAATTGTTAATGCTGCCAAGGGAAAAATTCAACTGCCAAGAATTAAGCTTAAAGCCAAAAATCCTGGGACTGAGAGTCAAGTTAACAGAAGCTCCTACCCAAGTATAATTATTCAGATTGCAATCACATCATGATACACATCCTGAATTGTGCAGGTTTACACCACAGTGGGATTATAAGGAAAAGGGAGTGAAAAAAGAGGCCAGCAGTACTGAAATGGTTTCCTGCAGAGAGGACAAATTAATCTATGCTCTGTAGTGCTAGTCTAACAATTTTTGCTAAAGTCAGGAATTTAGTTGTGAGGTATGACTCAGTCAGAAGAAATTTCTCTTTCCTCTTTCCAATTAATATTTGTTTACCACTATAGCATTACTTAGACTCCTTTTGTGGTACAAGCTTGATTAACACGTATTCTTTTCCTTTTACCTCTGCATTTATTCAATTCAAAAACGTGGACTACTGCTTCATTTACTTGACTTTCCAAAGCTTTTATAATACATTAAAACATTAAGAAATCATACATAATCATTTCAAACCTTGCTCAGATTCTCATTATACAAAATTAGTCCTGTGGCCCCAAAAGGATTAAGCAGCCAGTTGCTGCCTTAGCAACAATCAATGATAAAATGACAGATCAGCAACGCAAGTGGAATCTGCACCTGGCATTACAAGCAGCACGATCCACATCATAATCACCAATCATTATAAAGTTATCACTCAGTATAGTTAGGATATGAGTTTCAGTTATCACCTGCCTCACATATCTTCATTCAAGTTATAAAGTGGCCCCTTTAAACTGCAAGCCTTCAAAACTTATGCCTATAAATAATCAGGAACTTATGAGAATGAAAATATTATTTTAGAATAAAATACATCCTCAACGTGCATCATAAGATTCACAAATCCTTTGCTAAGTCTCCAAGGATGTCAGCCTATAATATTCCCACACAGAATGGTGCCCCTGAAAGCTCTCTGTACGGGCATTCTCTGGAACTATTAATTGTTGCAGCAATTATCAAATATGCTGAAAACTTGCAAACTATCACCAACTATCCACTGGAGATACTTTGAAGCAATGGCAAAGAATGAAGTATGATATAAAGTTAAATACAGCAGATGTCCAAAGAGACTTAGGGGTTCAACTGCATAGATCTTTAAAAGGCAACGAGCCGGAAATAATCAAGAAAACCAATGGAATGCTGGCTTTTATATCTAGATGGCAAGAGTATAAGGATACAGTTTTGCTGCAGTTATGCAAACCCGAGTTAGATCCCACTTGGGAGTACCGATAGGAGATCAGGAAGGATGTACTGGCCCTGGAGTGGCTTCAGAGGAGGTTCATGAGAATGGTCCCAGGAATGGAAAGCTTAACATATGAGGAATGTTTGAGGACTCTGGGACTATACTCATTGGAGTTTTGAAGGATGAGGGGGGGATCTAATTGAAACTTTCAGAATACTGAATGGCCTGGACAAAGTGGATGTTGGGAAGATGCTTCCATTGGCAGGAGAATCTAGGACCCGAGGGCACAGCCCAGTAAAGGAAAGACCTTTAAGAACGGAGATAAGGAGAAACTTCTTCAGCCAGAGAGTGGTGAATCTATGGAGAAGGCTGTGGAGGCCAGGTCATTGAATACATTTAAGACTGACATAGATAGGATCTTGATTATCAAGGGTTACGAGAAGAAAGCAGGGGAATGGGGTTGAGGAACTTATCTGCCATGATTGAATGGTGGAGCAGACTCGATGGTCTGAATGGCCTAATTTCTGCTCCTACGTCTTATGGTCTTATCCGGTGACCACACATTGGGAGGATGTATTGGCCTTGGAGGAAGTACAACATAGGTTTACAAGAATAATACCTGAGCTTGAGGGGTTAAGATATGAGCACAGATTTTACAATCTAGGCCTGTTTTCTCTAGAATTTAGAAGGTTAAGACATGATCTGATCAAAACTTCAGCATAAAGACAGGGTAGATAAAGATACACTATTTGCACCGCTTGGAGATTCTAGAACTAGGTGGCACAATCTAAAAATTAGGGCCAGACTGTTCAGAAGACACGTTAGGAAGAATTTCTAAACACAAAGGGTGGTACATATTTGGAACGCTAATCCACATATGGCAGCTGATGCTAGATTAACTGTTCATTTTAAATCTAAGATAGATAAAAATTTTGTTAAACAGAAGGTATTAAGGATACAGGCCAAAGACAGGTATATGGAGTTGGGCCAAAGATTTCAGCTATGATCTCACTGAGTGACAATAGGCATGAGGGGCTGAATGGCCTACTCCTGCTCTGATGTTCCTAAAGTGAAGCAATTAAATATTTTTAAAATACTGAATATAAACTCAGGAGGAACAACAGAATACCATGTTCTGCATAAATTATTGGAGATGGTTATGCGAGGAATATGCATATAGACAAACATTGAAAAGAAAATTTTAACCACGACTTTCAACATTCTTCAAAGAAAATTATGGAAACTTGACAACAAGTTAACTGTGTTGTATCAGATGTAACATGCAAAATGGTTACCAATTTCATACAAAAACTTCAGATTTGTGCCACAATTAAAAGCTTTTGGTGTAAAGTACAACTGACTTCCCTCCTTGCAGCAGGTGGATTATAAAATTTTAAGGATGAAGAATACAGTACATAAAATCACTTCAAAACTGCACACGTTCCAAAATGATCAAGAGCAAATATGTTTCTCTACCTTCAGACCTTTACAAAGTCTTTTCCTTCTGAAATGAGGTGTGTAATACCATAGCAATATGACATGGTTGCAGAAACAAATACACAAGACTGGAATAAAGGAAGAGCCAAAGACGTGTCAATAGTAATTTCTGGCTGGCAAGTCTGAATTTGTCACATGGGTGAAATCTGATAGTCTCCAATAGAGCCATTAACTGCAATCTTAAACATTATAATTGAAATAATGTGATTGAATAGTCAAAGTTACATATCAAAGGATAATATATTCCACTATTTTTTTCTAACTCTGAACTCCTGTCAGCTCCTCTCCCTATTACTATTTCAGGCTACAACACATTCTACCCTAGGCATCTTCAGCTGTGACCAACATAATACGTGTCACCATCTTTCCCAGACTAGCAACTTGAACTGTCTCAATCCCTTTCTCCAACAAATAGAACACGCAATTTCTTGACTGTGATGTACAACCCCGGCTTGTCTTCGCGGACATTTGACATTTAGTACTTGGAGGTGGTAACTTCCAAGATGCTCAGTTTTAGGGGTCACAGTTTCAAGATTGTCAGCAAGAGAGCGAGGACTGAGATGAGGAGGAACTTCTTGACTTAAATGGTTGTTAGAATTTGGAATGAGCTGCCTGGGAGGGTGGTGAAGATTGATTTCATAGGAGGTTTCAAAAGAGAGCTCGATATATATTTGAAAGTGATGAATTTAGAGGTCTATGGAGATAGGGCAATAGAATGGGTCCAGCTGGGTAGCTCTTTCAGGAGCTGATACTGACACAACGAACCAAATAGCCTCCTTTTCTACTGTAAAATGCTATGATTCTAAGTTAAACCAATACTCCATTTGTCCTCTCAGGTAGACGTACAAGACTCTATAGTACAATTATTTGAAGAATAGTAGATGATTTCTCAGTGTTTAATAGAATACTTATCCATCAACAAAAGTACTAAAAAAGTATCTGGCCTACATTACAATGGTGACAATTTTTCAAAAGTATTTGGCTATAAAATGATTTCAGACATCATCAAAATATGGGATTTAATAAAATACAAGCTCTCTCTCATTCCACTCACATCCACTCTTTTCTGCATGCTATAGTTGTGGGAACATGCGCTTTTAACTTTCCGTATGCTTTTCAATACAATCAGCACAGATTCAAACACGATCTTCCTTCTCACCCCATATCGACAACAGTGGGTTATCTCAAGGGTCCAATCATGGCACCTTTCTTTTCTTCACTGTCATGCCCATCAGACCAGTTGTCTGAAGAGGCCTAGCAATTTCCATATTTATGATGACAATATCCAGCTTCATCTTTGCACTGTCAATCTTGACTCCTCATGTGCCTCAGTGTTATCACATAGACATTTGAAATCAACTTGTAGCTAAGCCATAGCTTCCCCCTAAATCTAACACTAACTTGCTTCTTCAGTCTAAAGCATTTGTGCACAATCCGAGTTCTATTTGGATCTGGAACTAGCTTCAAACTCCAAATTCAATTGATCGTTTGAATTACTTAGTTTCACCATCACATGTGTGTTATTTCAGGTCTCGACTTTTCCAAAAAACCTCTTCACCACTCTTCCAAATTCCAACTTACACAAACTCCAACTCATTCAAATGCCACTGTCCATATCTTGTCTGTACTAAATTGTTCACAAATGTCTTCACCAACCTCTAATGACTTTCTCTTCCCCAATACATACAATTCAAAGTTGTTGTTCTTGTCTTGAAATCAAGATGACTTATTCCAGATGCAGGTTAAGTCACTTGTCAAAATCTATTGTCCAGATGCACAGGTCTAATGTATTTATAGGTGACGGAATGTTGAACGGATGTTTGGACTACACTCGACAATAGTCAGTGCCTTCCATTATGAGGAAACTATGATTTTTTAGTTAATACACGCAGATATACAGTCTATCAGCATGTTGGTCAATGTCAATAAAACTGTCTCTGTTCTTCTCTGAAGTGGTCAAAACCCTCACTGCTGACCTCCCCAATGGACAAAAGTGCGACTTTTAAGGAACTCTCACCGCCAGTGTTGAGAAGGACCCCAAGCATTAAGTACAGCACATTTTGATGGGAGTGTACAACTTCAAATACCTTCACAATGAAACATAACTTTGAAATGAAAAATAGAAGGCGTTACCCTCTTAAAGCTTAGTGTGGCTGACTCAAGGCACCTTCCAAAGGCTACATTAGGACTGAAAGTCGTGTACAGCTGCAATCCAACCTTTTTCCTGCTATTGTGGGACACGTTGAACCTGGAGAAACACTGAGCAGAATAGGAAAAGGTTCCGGTTCATTGTGAGCGAGGCCAATCTTGGATCGGAAACTAGGAATGAAGTGAACCGGCCGCCAGGAGCTAAGTCACAGCAACACGGCCAAGGCCGTCCGCCTCCGGGCAAACCGGGATCTGCCAAGAAACCCGCTTTTTGGCAGCCAACTTGCAGACATTAATCAAAAATCAGCACCAATAAATTATGGCTGCTTTTCATGTCATTTTTGAGCCGACAACCGACCATTCATTCTCCCACCTTGTTGGCTAGCGGACCGATCCACATCCCCCGGAGGGATGTCAGTGCATCACCCTCCATGAACTCCCCTTGCCATCCAAGCACAAACGCCCCCTTTCTCAAAGTGTGGTACAGCCCGACACGTGACTACGCTGGCCGTCGAGTTGTTGTTGTCGTTTCTTAGCAACAGAAAACATGGCGGACGGGCAGGTAGATTATTTGCATTGTCCAGCCATAATACTTTCCACATTTAAATATCAATCATGTCATTGTTATTCAACAGAAAGCGAAATGGGAAAACTCAACGTAAGTTTGGTTTAGATATAGTAGGAACTGCCGATGCTGGACTCTGAGATAACAAGGTGTGGAGCTGGATGAACACAGCATGGTTTATATTTCCATTCAATGATTGGCCGCTTTTACAGCGTCCAGCAACAACTTGCATCCATACAAAGAACTGCGGATGCTGGAAATCTGAAACAAAAACAGAAATTGCTGGAGAAACTTAACAGGTCTGACAGCATCATCGGAGAAAAAGCAGAATTAACGTTTCGGATCTAATGACCCTTAAAGAGTATCCTTAAGGAATCTGACCCCATTACCAAGGGCATTTTTCCCTCCCCACCCTTATCTGCCATCCGGAGGGACCACTCTCTCCGTGACTCCCTCGTCTGCTCCACACTCCCTGCGAGTCCCACCACCCCTGGCACTTTTCCCTGCAACCGTAGGAAGTGCTACACCTGCCCCTACACCTCCCTGCTCACCCCCATCCCAGACCCCAAGAAAACCTTCCACATTAAACAGATGTTCACCTGCACATCTGCTAATGTGGTATACTGTATCTGCTGTTCCCGTTGTGGTCTCCTTTACATCAGGGAAATCAAGCGGAGGCTTGGAGACAGCTTTGTGGAACACCTACGCTCGGTTTGCGACAAACGACTGCACCTCCCAGTCACGAACCACTTCAACTCTCCCTCCCACTCCTTGGACGACATGTCCATCCTGGGCCTCCTGCAGTGCCACAATGATGCCACTCGAAGGTAGCAGGAACAGCACCTCATATTTCGCTTGGGAACCCTGCAGCCCAGTGGTATCAATGTGGACTTCACAAGCTTCAAAATCTCCCCTCCCCCGACCACATCCCAAAACCAGCCCTGCTCGTCCCGCCTCCCTGACCTGTCTGTCCTTTCTCCCACCTATCCGCTCCTCCCACTTCGACCCCCACCCCCACCTCCACCTCCTACCTACCAGCCATATCCCTGCCTCCTTGACCTGTCCGTCTTCCCTTAACTGACCTACTCTCATCCTAACTCCCCACCTACACTCACCTTTACTGGCTCCATCCCCGCCTCCTCGACCTGTCCGTCTCCTCTCCATCTATCTGCTCCTTTATCCATCTTCCATCCGCCTCCCCCTCTCTCTCTATTTATTTCAGAATCCCGTTCCCCTCCCCCATTTCTGAAGAAGGGTCCAGACCCGAAACGTCAGCTTTCCTGCTCCTCTGATGCTGCTTGGCCTGCTGTGTTCATCCAGCTCTACACCTTGTTATCTCAGATTCTCCAGCATTGGCAGTTCCTACTATCTCTATTCCTTAAGGTATCTTTGTTGTTGTTTCAAACTTGCATTTCATGGAATTCCTACCGTGTGGAAACAGGCCATTCAGCCCAACAAGTCCACCCAGACTCATCCCCCACATTTCCAATGGCTACGCCACCTAAATTACACACGCCTGGACACTGTGGGCAATTTAGCAGGGCCAATCTACCTAGCCTGCACATCTTTGGACTGTGGGAGGAAACTGGAGCACCCAAAGGAAATGCAAACAGACACGAGAAGAATGTGCAAACTCCACACTTACGGTCCCCAAAGGTGGAATTGAACCCAGGTCCCTGGCACTGTGAGGTAGCAGTGCTAACCACTGAGCCACCATGCAGCCCAGACCAGTATGTCTCAATGATGCTTCACAAGGATGATTGCAATATGATATACAGCACAGAAGAGGGAATATTATCTAGATAGATTTTTCTGAACCAGTGTAACTAACAGCAGGTTTGGTTGAGGCCTGTTTTGATTGAGATCTGTTTGCTTGCCCTGCCCTGACAGTGAAAGGTAATACCAAACCACCACTGGGTAAATAAACATGATGTGCAGGCGTCGCTGTTGGACTTGGGTAGACAAGGACAGAAGTCACACAACACCAGGTTATAGGCCAACAGGTTTATTTGAAATCACAAGATTTCGGAGTGCTGCTCCTCCATCAGGTGATACAGAAGCAGCACTCAGAAAGCTTGTGATTCCAAATTAACTTGTTGGATTATAACCTGGTGTCATGTGACTTCTGACCAGGTAAATAAATGATCAAGCGAAGTTCAAATGAAGCATTTTGGTAGAAAGAATAGAGGGCGTAGACTATTTTCTAGATGGGGAAAGGCTTCAGAAATCAAGCACAAAGGGATTTAGAACTCCTAGTTCAGCACCAATAGCAAGTTCTATATTCTCATTGTCCTCTGAGTAAACAAGTTTCTTTTGGGTTTCATAGTAACTATCTTATTATTGCAGGCTTCTACTTTTGCTGTTCCCCAGAAAAAGGAAATATTCTCCGGTGTTATGATCCTAGGTGATGGTAATACTGGACAAGATAGTTCCCAGAGTGAAACTTGACTTAACAGACCATAAATTTTATTTTTCCTTTTTGTTTCTCATAGTGGTCAGTTACTGAATTCACTAGAGTCTGACAATGCCCTTTTAATAAAACAACATGGAAAATTATTGTATGCAAAAGAAAACACAAACTATGTAACACAGTAGAAAATATTTAAAATTACCTTATTGCAGATTTCAGAAAGAAAGATTCAATCCTTTTTACCACCACAATAACTTCAAAGACATGCAAACCTCAGTGATGTCTGTCCCATGCGAAAAATCCTTGTTCATTTGGTCCATCTTTAATTCACTTCTTTTTGGCAAATTTCTGCATTCACTTGATGCCAATTAATGTCTTTTCCTGAGACCCTTAAATAGGCTGCTAAATCAGCTCACTTACTACCAGACATGAGTTCCCTAAACTCATGACCTCAACAATCTCCTTCTTGCTTTTGGAGTTTTCTTCTAAGCAACTCAGGATACTTTTCACAGCCATGACTGCTAATAACAGTACCTCTGCTGTTAAGGATCTCTTCTCTTTGACTGAACTAGTTTCTGTCTAAATGAACCTGCTGCTATCTCTCTCTCTTGCTTGCTGTCTTTCTGGGTTGTAAACCTGAAGTCAACAAGCACCTTAGCAATTATCTGCGCAGGTAGCTTGGTAGACATTTAGGTAAAATCACATTATTTCATGCAAACACTCTCTTTAGCTAACTGTTCAAAAATGACTTTCTGACTTTTTTTAAAAACAATTCGGATCTTAACAGAATAGAAAATTAAAATCTACGTTTCCTTCACTTTGATAGTAACAAAGTTACTATAGTCTTACCAAACTATATGGGCTACTTTGTGATTAGAGAGGATGACTGGTGGTGGGTTTAACTTGCAAATCTCTCAGATGAGGTGAGAAATTGAGAAGCAGAATACTTCATGGCAACTTCAGTCAGTGTAGGAATTGAACCTGCACTGTTGGCATCAGAAACCAGCTGTCCAGCCAACTTAATCCATTAATTTGATTGTTGATTTATGTTTTAATAGCACACTGTCCTGAATCTAATTAGCTGAATTGGAATGATTTTTAAGTACTTTCAGCTCACAGCTTCCATTTAGTTGAAGTCCATGCCTCAAAGTACAACCACCTCTTCATCCTCAGGTACAGCTGTTAGGACATTGGTTATGCCCCTATTGGAACACTGCATGTAATTCTGGTCTCCCTGCTGTAGGAAGGATGTTGTGAAACTTGAAAGGATTCAGAAAAGATTTACAAGGATTTTGCCAGGATTAGAGGGTTTGAGCTGTAGGGACAGGCTGGATAGACTAGGGCTATTTTCCCTGGAGCATCGGAAGCTAAGGGGTGACCTTGTTGAGCTTCATAAAATTATGAGGGGCATGGATACAATAAATAGACAAGGTCTTTTGCCCGGGGTGGGGGAGTCAACTACTAGAGGGCATAGGTTTATTGTGAGAGGGGAAAGATTTAAAAGGGATCTAAGGGGCAACTTTTTCATGCAGAAGTTAGTGTGTGTATGGAATGAGCAGTTGGGGAAGTGATGGAGATTGGTACAATTACAACATTAAAGAGGCATCTGGGTGGGTATACGAATAGGAAGGCTTTAGAGGGATATGAGCCAAATACTGGCAAATGGAACTAGATTTAGTTAGGATGTCTGGTCAGCATGGACCAAAGGGTCTGTTTCCGTGCTGTATATCTCTATGACTGTATGACAAATTTAGTACATTGTGGGGCCTGGCATTTAGAAATACAAAATCATGAATTGAGGGAGAAAAAGATTATCCAAAACTCTCAAAATTGACAAGGTAACTTCAGCCTCCAGAGGTGAATTGCTGATCATGAAGTGACTTGGGGTTTGACATGGAGAAGTCAACATTATAACTGGTTCTACCATTTTAGCAGTATACTCACATTCAAAGAATGAGGAAGGATCTGAAAAATAATTTTCTTCCTCATTCATTCATGTTGCATGTAGAAACTAACTATACTCAAGCAGTACAATAATGGAACTGGATAAAAGACAATGATGGACATAAAAGATTTCAAACATTTGTTGTCTTGAACAAATGAATATAATCAGTTATTTATAAAAGCAACATACACCCATTTATTCTGGCAGATAAAATGTGTTAGATTTTGTTTTGCCTAATTGTCAGTTTTGTTGAGTAATTTTGGAGGGTTTCTTGCTGCAAGGCCCATCAAAATCTCTTGCTATATCTTACTAAGAACCTATCCTGTTCCTATGATATTCCTCTTGCATGATTCTAGCCCCATCTTACAATTTGCTTTTCCTATAACAACTCACCATTGCCGGGCTATTCAGAAATTGACTGTCAGCCCTGCGCTGACACCATCTCTTAAAAGCTGAATCAGAGA